TAAACGACCTCTTACTAATATTAATGGATAAAAAATTCAACTATCCGTCTTTGGAAGTTGTTTGACCTTGTTTTCGCAACATGGTCATATTGGTAGGAAGACTTAGAGGAATGCATCTAGTCCGGAGTCCATTGTATGCATTATCATTTCCAGAGTAGGACCATGGACGTGGTACATTCCCAGACGTTTCGCCGGAATCGTCAGTGATTCTCGCCATTCGTAGCACCATATTACAACTCGTCAAAGAGACAAGTCAAGCCGATCCTTTGGCCAAACGTGTGCAAACAGTTGTGGTATCTACTCTTCTGCTCTGGGCTATTCACATTTCCTATATCGTCCTATCATGCCTTCCATGTCAAAATTTTTACCGTGCTTATTTTTAAAATAATGTTGTGTGCTCCTTCGAGCAGAATTCATGAAAATCCTTTACACTGTCGTTCTCACACTCTCCTTGTGCTGAGAATGTTGACCAGAGTCTGTCATATTGTTACGTAGTCCTTCCTTGGGTCCTATCAAAGTCTCCCTCTTGCCCCGTAGAATCCGTTTGCTATCTCTCTCGTACATGTATTTCACTCGACCCCAGCTCTCCCATCTGTTCTACTCGAGGCGCAATTCGTCCATCCCCTGAACCTGGGTGATTAATTAGAGGCTAAAGCCGAAGAGTAAGTCTCATGGTCATGCCTTTGCTACATGGACCACGTCTCTTGTAAAACCTACTATCAGTCAACTAGCTCTAACCGCCACGTCGTCTATCATGTCTCTATCCTTAATACCAAGTCTATGACTTTCCATGCCCTAGTTGTTTGTGTGCAAACCCACAAATTTTGTGGTACTGCTGGCTTTGATTAGGTTCATTGTTGAACTAAAATATTTGTGGGTTGGAATACAAGAGACAAGGGCATAGGAAGTAATAGGCTTGATATTATAGATTGAAAGAGGATAGAAACAGTGGAAGCTAAAGCTGGTTGGCTGACAATAGTCGTGATTCAAGGATCACGTTTATGATAAAACACGTCTATTTTTAGCCAAATAGCTTTAGTCTTTCCTGTTTCTATCTGTAATACCATGTCCATCGCTTCCTACATCCTAGTCTCTTGTGTGCCAACCAACAAATGTTGTGGTTCTACTTGTTTTGATCAGGCTCACTATAGACGTCTCCTCTTTGCTTCTGATTGTTGCTTTCTCATCCCCCTGCGATCTCTTTTCCTAAAATTAAGGATATTACTTTGATCCAGTTGTCTACTTTTTGCTGGTCTTCTCCGAGTTTGCTTAGGCAATATACAAAATTTTCGCTAATCCTGCCTTCTTCAAGTCTCCTGTTCATTAGATCTCCCTCGGTCAGT